ACACTGACAGGGAACATACCATAATGCCTATAAATTAACTGAGGCAACAGGGCATGTGCTAGATGCTAAGAGAATATGTCAACAAATAAGATCATGGAGTTGGGTGCTCGGAGGGATCATACACTGATCAGCATAAGTCTGTCATGAAGAAAAAAACATCTACCCAAAAACTGCAACTGAAAGCCTTCAAAGAATGGTGGAGTTTATTTCTTTAAGACTACTGATCCTTGGAAATTCTGTAGAAATTCTGTTCTTCAATGGTATACAGTAACAAATTCTCTGATAAGATCCAAGGGAAATATGCATATGTTCCAAAGCAAACAATATAGCAAGATAATTTTGAAAATTATTTTTTTTTTTTGAAGTACAGATCATTGATGTCATAAATAATGTGCATATCACATGTACATATAAGGTAAAATAGAAGAGTCCGGCTTCTTTGTCTCTTTTTTTCTGTAAAAATGGCCCCCAGTTCAGTGTAAAATTTAATAATTGTACTCTTTCTCAACTTATCATATATAATCCCTTATAAGTCAAGTCAAATTGTAAATAACAAAGACCTTAATCTGCCTTTGCAAATGAGCCTGAATAGCAGGGTCTATGTTATTTGTTCTACTGATTAATATAAACAAACTGCAGAGACACAGATCTACCAGCGCTTTATGTATAATATACAATATAATATCATTATGATGGAAATAACAGAATTATTCCAATTTTGGACTGCACTGTTCAGACTTGGCTTTCTGTATCTTTGCTAGCCAAGGTTCCAAAGTGTTAGCCCTATCTACACCTTGGCAGACTGATCGAATAATTCAGTGCTACAGGTCTGTGACTGGATGTTGCATCAAGCCACCACATTCAATAAAAACCAGGTTGTTCAAATTTGATCATTGTTCCTACATGATCGATACATGGGGAGCAAACAGATGGAATGAACTAATAAAAAAGCAATTTTCCACTGCCAGTCCATGTTCGTACAAATACAATCTTTCCCTCAAATACACCTCTAATAACTTCTTTCTGGTACATAGTCATACTTCTGATGTCAAATTTACAAAGCTTTCCTTTGAAAGTCAATCATCTCCACCATTTCTAGCTGATGTACAAAGGAATGATGCACCACTGTTACATTCTGTTGGTCAATTGATTTACATACTAAGGGACACAACTCATGAAATACAACAGATGTCGCTAAGACAAAGCACTCAAATATCTGATCAATTCACCCAGGTGTAGATAGGGTTTGAAATCAGAACCTTGACCTTCTGAAAAGATTAGGATGTATATAGAGCATGAAAAAATAAATGTGGTTTAAGAACTAAATACAAATATCAGCAAAGCAAAAATGAAAGGTAGCAGCCAACAACTTTGGGTGTAAGGGTGTAGTTCTAACAGATTTTATTATTCTAACATAAACAGCACCAACTTGAAATGAAAAATTCAAGAAAGACACTGAAGTACGACATACAGATCTCACTAACATGGGTTTAGCACTCCTCAAGATGCATCCACTCACAAAGTTTCATCATTCTAGGTAGAAGAGTATACAGCATGCGAAAAACACTTGTGGTCATGAGGATAATGTAAAATTATAACCAAAGCAATTAAAGTATGTATATAAAAAATGTTGAGCTTTTGTTGCAAGGTTGAGGTACGACATTTATAAAAAGTTTCTCTTCATCAACTTTACTGTTCTAGTATGAAATATGCCTGAGAAATTAAATGTATAAAGCATGATAAATGGACCATACTGAACAGTTCTTGTTATCTAAGTTTATATTATATTCATCTTAGTGAGCTGTTTAAATTTGGCAAGAGCATTTCTGAAGTACATCTGTACATTTTTAAAAATGTACTATTGATCAGAAATTAGATCCTAACTTGAATATTTGATTGTCCAAGTTTGCTAACCTCTTGGATTCAAAATAATGTAGATTTAATATTATCCACAGAGTGAATTCATTTGCTAGACATAATTTTCACCATTTTCAACCACTTTACTTATTTACTGGGGGCCTGCGGAGTGGTCTAAAGTGCTGTCCGTTAGGGATCACTGCCATCTCACCTCTGTCTGCATGGAATCTAGGATTGGGGAATGTGGATATGTGAGAAAGCTTGCCAGTAGCTTCTTGTGGGTCGGTGGTTCTTTCCAGTGATTTCCGGTTTTTTCCTCCACCATTAATACTGGCTGCCATGTATAGCCTATCTTGTGCTGAAAAATGGCATTAAACCCCACAACAACCAACCAACCAACCATTTTCAACTCCTAAAAAGATTTGTTTTTTTTCTGGCCATCAAATCAAGAAATTGCCTTATATCATTTCTCCTTATTAATTTCCTATTGTACATGCTTAAATCTTTCTGGTGCATGTTTCCCCACCCCCCTGCAATTCATCTCCACAATTTGTAGAAATATATTAAAAAATCATTCTATCTGCATGTGTGGTGGGTGTACATAATATTACCTTTACTGGGAATTGGGGTTTTAAAAAAATGTGAAACTAAATCAAATGTTTAAATATTTATGCTTTTGGGAACTATGACCAATAGTGATAGAACCCAAGTAGAGTTTAAATTTACCATACATATCCCATGATTGATTCTGTTGTTTTGCTCTGGGGGGGAGGGGGTAATGCCATTTCTGAGCACAAGATAAGTGATACATGGCAGTCAGTATAGCTGGTGGAGAAAGAACCTAGGAAAACCCATGTATGAACCACAAACCCATGGGAAGCTACTGACAAGCTTCCCCCCACCTCTGTGATTGGTAAAGGTGCATGCTTGAGAGAGAGAGAGAGAGAGAGAGAGAGAGAGAGAGAGAGAGAGAGAGAGAGAGAGAGAGAGAGAGAGAGAGATGAGTGAGTGTGCATGTGTATAAAGAATAAGAACTATTTGGATGGCACAAGAAAATGATCAATGCAATTTGAATCTTACAACAAAAACATTATGATTTACTAAAAACTACATACAAACCTAAGACAGAAACTCCTGAGTACCTGCATGCAAAGATTAAGCTGAAACTGTAGTTTATAAATTAGGATATGATCTGGCCAGTCAGGTGAGAAAGCCCTCCAGTAATCTTGTCTCTATAGAATATCCCAAATTACATTTACCATATATCACCATATAAAAGCTCATTTATTACCACAATATCTAAGGCATAAAATATACTTCCACCCAATCACAATACAACATCAGAGTACAATCACAAACTTTCACAAAAGAGACAGATAGTTGTCTGTAGTGCTTATATTTAATAGTGGTTTAGAAGAAATAAAAATTACAACCAAACTGCTGTGGTAAATGAAATATATTCAAGCAATTCATGAAACAACAACTGTTGTTCAAAGATGAATCCTACAACAGGCCCTCAAGGCCCACCTTAACCATAAATATCCAACCTTAAGCCAGGGGAAACTTTTCTGTAATTAATTTTAAATGTTGGTAGTGGTATTTCCAATGTATTATTGAACTATTATCACATTTATCTGATGCTAAGCCCATGCCTGATGTTAAGCCAAATCTAATTTTTAGAGAATTGTAGTACTAAGTGTTCACAGTGGAAATCTTGGGGGGTTTTTTTCTTCGAAAGAAACTATTGATGGCTATTGCTTCCACAACAACATACATACAGACTACAGACATGAGAGAAACATTTGACATCACCGATGGAAAAGTGACCATTCATATGGTATACGTTGTACCTCCATGGGAAGAAGACAAATAATCACCACTGATCTGCTTGCCAATAGGCTACCTAGCATAATGGACATAACAGCAGATTTAAGAATAAAAGATGGGAAACATCTATGCTGACCACACAAGAGGTAGCTGACTAGATTCAAACAACATATGTGAATGAAATAGAGAGAAACATGAACTTTGTCCTATTTAATTGTTTGTTACATGTTTTGTTTTGGCTCTTTTTTAAAAATGAACATTAATTGTAGTATGAAAAATATCATTCTTTAATGAAATGTATATACGTTGCATGTTTCCCTTGAAGGCATAAACTTTTAATTTTAAAAAGTAGTTTATTAGATCCAAGAACTAAATAGCTTGTCAATAGGTTTGTTCCATGTCCAAAATTTTTATGTATTAAATGGATAGTGCTTAGACCATAGCACAGGCCAGAGAGCCCATGTATATAATTGAATAAATGTTTTGTACCCATACAATAGACTTTTCTTGTTGTTTCTTATTTCTTGTTATTTCTTATTGTTCTTATTATTATTCTGTCTCTGAGTCTTTCTTCGGAACATCTTTGTCCTCTTTTTTATTTGCTTCTGTACATTGATATGTGTACCTATCAACCCTTTGTCCTATAAATACATTTCACCCTTAAATAGTTTGACCCTATATACCCCATGATGCAACCCATGTTCAATTTCCCTTTGACTTCCAGACGACATTCCAATTTTGATATACCCATTTTAAAGTTAAAGTCCAATTGACTTGACCCTAAATTAGCCCAATCAGCCCAATCTCTTGTCTTGTCGCTGTGTTGATTTCCCCATTCACTCCATGTTAAATTTCCCATGTTAAATTCCCCTTGTTGACAAAGTATCCCAGGGGTGTTTGTAATGTATTTTTCCATTGTCGATAAACTATCCCCCTATACTACTTGCAAACAAAAGAGACCCTGATTTGCTGTCACATAATGTGCTGGCAGATCAAGGTCTATGTTGTTACTTAAATCCTTACAAAGTGAACAAACTTAAAATTTAATACCAAAACTTTGTTTTGTTTTTAAAAAAGAGGGAGAAAAAGGATGAAAAGATGATAGCAAAGTTGGAAAAACTTGAGACCAAACAAAACTTTCAATTTAGAGGTGACATTTGTGATATAGGAGTCTTTGGTTTTGAAGTGTCAGTTAATACTGATTCATTATAAAGCCCCAATAGTATGTATGTGTGTGTGTATATATATCTGTGGGCATATTATGCAATGACAGATCTGGCTCTGTGTAGTTTGCAGCTGACCCTGATTTTGAAGTTAACTACTCCAGTGGCCTTGTGGTTAGGGTGTCCACCTTAGATGCGGTAGGTCTTGGGTTGGAACCCCAGCTGAGTCATACCAAAACCTTTAGAAATGGTACTAACAGCTGCCTCACTTGGCACTCAGCATAAAGAGGTTAATGTTTGGACTGGTCGGCCTGGTGTCAGGATAATGTGACTGGGTGGGACATCAATCCACACTCTGATGCATGATACCCCAGTGCTAGACATCACTATAAACTGTCCAACTGCAGGCATCAAAGGACATGACTGAAAATTTTTTAATGTTACTTACAAATCTAAACCACATGCACACTTTAAAGTGAGTATATACATGTATGGTAATACAGAAAATTTTAAGTGAGTATATATGGTAATACATACAATTTCAATGGGAAAAAAGATTAAAACTCTACCATTTTTTCAATATAAAGACTTGGAGTGATGGCCAAGTGATCTAAGGCACTCTGACTTAACAGATCACTCACACATAAGACATCTGAGTTAATTCAAATTTCGACCCAATATTGCTATTGAATCCAAATGGGCACAAAAAACCAGCAAAACCAAAGTTGCCTGCAATCCATTCATTTTTTTTCAAAAGTTATTGAGCAATGACAAAATTTATATTCTACATGATGGTGTGGGCAGGTACAGGTAAAACAGTACATGTATATACACCCACCAATGACTTTGCAGGTCAGGGAACATAAAAAGAGAAATGTAAATTTATCAATTAAATTCTTTTGACACAATGTGTACTAAGCATGAATAGGCAGTTTCTCAAGTACAGATACATTCAACACAGTAATGAATTCCTATATTAGAAGCTACTGGTTTGAATTGATTAACACATATAATGGCCTTGAAAGATCTAGCATTCTTATATCACATGACTAGGTGCAATATTTCACAAGAATCAGTCCAAAGCTTTTATGAATTGAATTTCCATTAAGCTAATGGACTGGGATGGGATCTAGTCAATAAACTTATACACAAAAGGTTTGTTGATGGCCAATATATGTTATTCCCATCTTTTCATTTTGAAAATCTTGAAATAGCTCATTTTATTTTGTATATTTGACAGTATTAGTTGACACTACACTCACAGGACTTTTAAAAAAAATGTTAATATAAAATATATGCTTATACTAAGGTACAGTATTAAAAAGTATTGTGCAATCTTTGCATTAGGGCCACAAGTGGTGGAGTCTCTAAAGCAAAGCACTTACAGATCACTGCCATCTATCTCACCTCTGTGTGAGTTGAGTCAGGCTAACATGGGTAAGTGAGAAAGCCTGCCAGTAGCTTCTAGTGGGTCAGTGGTTCTTTCCGGGGTTTACCAAGGTTCTTCCTCCACCATTAATACTGGCTGCCATATATAGCCTATCTTGTGCTGAAAAATGAAGTTAAACTCTATAACAACAACAGCAATCTTTGACAATCATTACTGAATTTGAAGTTTCAATTTTTCATTTTATCTATTGGATGATCTAGGAAATTAATGGCACAAGAGAAATTTCAAAACACTAAATTCATACAATCACTTACATTCATAAAACATGTTTTGAACAAAAATAACAAATATAACAGTTCTGAAAATTTAAAAAGTAAACTTACATTTGCAACAATTATAAAAACTATTACACCTTTACTAGTGACTTGTCTGTTAAGTGTAACACTTGTAATGGTAACAAAATGACTTGTCTGTTAAGTGTAACACTTGTAATGTAACAAAATGCTACCCTACAGTAACCTGACACTATGTTGATAACATACTTGACTATGGTTGGAATGGTTGTTATGTAAAGTTCACTTAATTAGACATTGACAGTTGTAAACACCTAAAAGGATCAAGGACAGTTATGGTGACAACACCTGTCTGCAATGTTCAACAAGAGGAATGATATTAACTTGCATGCTAAAGTGAACATGCATACTGGCAGATTATTTAATTGCCATTAATTCACTGGTTTCATAAAAATGTCTCTTTTAGGTGCTAAGATAATCCATTTTCAAAACATCTGTTTTTATTATCAGTATTTACTATCTGTATTTAATATATGTACTTCATATCAGTATTCATTATCAGTATCCATTGTCAGTATTAATTATATGTATTCATTATCTATATTTATTATTAGTATTAGTTGTCTGTATTCATTAATGGTGTTTATTATCTGCAATTATTATCAGAATTATCTGTATTTATTATCTGTATTCATTATTAGCATTTATTATCTGTATTTATTTGATTATCTATATTCATTATCAACATTATTATCTGTTTTTATTATCAGTATTTAATCTGAATTTATTATTTATTATCTTCATTCATTATCTGTAGTATCTGTATTTATTATCATTATTATCTGCATTCATTATCAGTATTCATTGTTATTATTCATTGTTTGTATTCATTATCAACATTCATCCTCCATCCAACAACATCAAAGGTATTAAACAAGAAAATACTGTGAAACTGATTAACTGTATGGCTGTTGATTTTTATTTTTATCTTTATTTTTATAGGATAAAGTTTTCAAAATTCAAACAAGTTACCATTATGCTCTTCCTCAGCATCACAATTTTTATTATTCTTTTAAACACTGCATAACCTATATGTATTAAGGTAAGTGTTGCCAAATATTCTTAACTGCTTACCTGACTGTATTCTTGTTTTGCTACAAGCTGTTGTTTGTACATGTACATGGTGCCAAACAAGATTATTCAATATTATTTTGTCACATTTTGTCCAGAAAGAGAAGGCATATTTGCTTGAGATCTTACATGTAAATATAAAATGCATGTTATATTTATGGACACTTTGGTATGTATATGTAACTGTTTCTAGATAACTTTCCACAGCTGAACTAAAACTTGTCAGTATTATTTCTGCTGAAATGATTTGGAAATGCAAAACTTTCTAGCAGTCTATCCTAAGTTTACATGAACATTGCTTTATTTTCTGGAACATATTCATATCATGGTTGAATGAATTTTGTGGATTTTATGCTTAAATTGTTATATATATATTTAATTTGCATTGTTTGTTAAGGGATCTTTTTATTTATTTTCTTTTATTTCATTATATGCTATGGAAGACAATGTTGGACTTGACCTTGTCTAAAATCAAGTTCATTTTTTTGCTTGACATGAATCATTGATTTTTTTTATTCTGCAAAGAACTAATACTGTATAGAAAATAGGTTATGGGTTAACTATTATGATTGTTATCTTGGCCTGAGTCATGGACATTTTTTGTGCTTACCACATTTTCAACTAGTCTAAGACTTTAACTACCTGGCTCCTTTCAACTAGTCCAAGGCCTTAACTATCAAACCACCGACCATGGCTACTTTCAATTAGTCCAAGGTCTTTTACTACTGAACCCCCATGGCTCCTTTCAACTAGTCAAAGGCCTGAACCACCAAACCAACATGGCCCCTTTCAACTGTAGTCAAAAACCTTAACTGCAAAACTTCCATGGCTCCTTTCAACTAGTCAAAGGCCTTAATTGCAAAACTACCATGGCTTCTTTTGACTAGTCAAAATCCTTAACTACTGAACTACCATGGCTCCTTTTGACTAGTCAAAGGTTTTAACTACTGAACTACTATGGCTCCTTTTGACTAGTCAAAGGCTTTAACTACTGAACTACCATGGCTCCTTTCAACTAGTCAAAGGCTTTAACTACTGAACTACCATGGCTCCTTTTGACTAGTCAAAGGCTTTAACTACTGAACTATCATGGCTCCTTTCAACTAGTCAAAGTCTTTAACTACTGAACTACCATGGCTTCTTTTGACTAGTCAAAGTCCTTAACTACTGAACTACCATGACTCCTTTTGACTAGTCAAAGGTTTTAACTACTGAACTACCATGGCTCCTTTCGACTAGTCAAAGGTTTTAACTACTGAACTACCATGGCTCCTTTCGACTAGTCAAAGGTTTTAACTACTGAACTACCATGGCTCCTTTCAACTAGTCAAAGGCTTTAACTACTGAACTACCATGGCTCCTTTTGACTAGTCAAAGTCCTTAACTACTGAACTACCATGGCTCCTTTTGACTAGTCAAAGGCTTTAACTACTGAACTACCATGGCTTTTTTCGACTAGTCAAAGGTTTTAACTACTGAACTACCATGGCTCCTTTTGACTAGTCAAAGGCTTTAACTACTGAACTACCATGACTCCTTTTGACTAGTCAAAGGTTTTAAGTACTGAACTACCATGGCTCCTTTCGACTAGTCAAAGGTTTTAACTACTGAACTACCATGGCTCCTTTCGACTAGTCAAAGGTTTTAACTACTGAACTACCATGGCTCCTTTCAACTAGTCAAAGGCTTTAACTACTGAACTACCATGGCTCCTTTTGACTAGTCAAAGTCCTTAACTACTGAACTACCATGACTCCTTTTGACTAGTCAAAGGCTTTAACTACTGAACTACCATGGCTCCTTTTGACTAGTCAAAGTCCTTAACTACTGAACTACCATGACTCCTTTTGACTAGTCAAAGGCTTTAACTACTGAACTACCATGGCTCCTTTCAACTAGTCAAAGGCTTTAACTACTGAACTACCATGGCTTCTTTTGACTAGTCAAAGTCCTTAACTACTGAACTACCATGACTCCTTTTGACTAGTCAAAGGTTTTAACTACTGAACTACCATGGCTCCTTTCGACTAGTCAAAGGTTTTAACTACTGAACTACCATGGCTCCTTTTGACTAGTCAAAGGCTTTAACTACTGAACTACCATGACTCCTTTTGACTAGTCAAAGGCTTTAACTACTGAACTACCATGGCTCCTTTCGACTAGTCAAAGGTTTTAACTACTGAACTACCATGGCTCCTTTCAACTAGTCAAAGGCTTTAACTACTGAACTACTATGGCTCCTTTCAACTAGTCAAAGGCTTTAACTACTGAACTACCATGGCTCCTTTTGACTAGTCAAAGTCCTTAACTACTGAACTACCATGACTCCTTTTGACTAGTCAAAGGTTTTAACTACTGAACTACCATGGCTCCTTTTGACTAGTCAAAGGTTTTAACTACTGAACTACCATGGCTC